ATGAAAAAGAGAATTTACTTTGCGATTGAAATCAGATGAAAAGTACCAACCTTGCGTTTATTTTCTAAATAAGCAGCTTCATTTGTCCACAAATCCAAAATCACACCAAACCTATCAATATCTTTGCGACTATATGCATCAAGATCAAAGTCGCTGCCTTGTTGTTGCTAGAGTTAAGTGAAAAAAATAAAATATTTTCTAGACTCTCCTAGAAACTTTTCAGCTTATCTTCCTCCGAGTTAAGATTCGCTCTGTAGTTATAGGACTTGATTATTTGACTATATTTCTAATATTATTTGCAAAAGTGTCTTGATGGAAAGAGAACTACAAAGAGATTCCAAAGAAAACTACGGAATTGAAATAAAAAACAAGGCATTGAGCTAATGCTGCACTCGGACAAACATTGATGGGGCAAGCCAGTGCTTTACGAAACTGTCCGACACATATAAGGTGAAAACAAAGTTGCTACTAAGCGGGAAATTGAAGGTATTGATAGCACTGACTAAAACAAAGTTGATTATTTTCTAATTGAATCTACTTTTTGCTTTCTCTTGCTGATTTTGAAGATAAAAACTTAGAAATAGATAAACCAGGTTCTGGCTATTGAAGAACCCAAAAAACATGGGAAGGATGAAACATAGTACTCAAAAGTAAAACAGAAAGAAAAACTGGCCTAATGGAAACTTTCATTGGAAGGGCACTGGTGGTATCTCTTAAACCTAATAGGGTACCGAGCCTGGCGAAATTAAGCTTATTTCTCTAGAAAGCGGATCTCAAAAAACATAATTCTAGCCTGCTTCAAAGATTATTCGCTTATTTCTCCTGGCAAAAATGTTCGGTCGTGTAAAGTGTCTCCTGTGTCTAAAGAGGCACTGCTCGTAGACTAGCCAACTTAGATAACATCAAAAGGAGACAATAGTTGAACCAGGGGCAAATCATTGATAATCACAGCCATAGCAGCTTTGTGTTGTCTGGAAGACATTTGGCAAACAATTTCTGTCTTTTTCATAAGTCACAAACCACTTAAGAAAATCAAGGTGAATTGAAAATATCTTCGAGGCAGTGCAAAGGAATCAATCATACCTGTACTTTAATATCGTTTTTGTCCTTGCCTCCAAACTTTGAAATGAAATGTGAACCAATCAGGAGTAACTGTTTTTCGATTTCCCTAAAATCATGGCCATATACAACAAGGAATGATACAGAGAAGGTAGCATTATCAAACAGATACACTGACCAGAAAATATTTTACTTGAATAGGGTCTTGCAGGAAGAAAATTCTTATAGAAAAGTGTTAGTTGCTACAAAAACATTTTTCAGTTATTCAGAAAAGAATTATGTCAGCAGAACCAGCTAGCTAATGGTCAAATGCAAAGGTCATAGGCAAAGGTCTTGAAAAAAGTAATTTTGGAGGAAATCATTAAATTTGATAAGTAGTAAAACAGCAGCACAAGATTTGAGCTTGACAATGTCTAACTGAGCATTGTATCAAGCAGTAGTCAAAGATCCACAGAAATTGCACAGATGGCTAAGATTATAAAAGGAATAATTATGCAGCTAAATTGTTAAATAAAAACGAAAGGTACCTGAAGTCTTCCAGGGATTTGTCGTAGATGACAAAGACTCCTTTGTGATCTTGCACATGAATGCGACCGTCAGACAGAGAGTAGTAATCATCCTGGTTTTCAATCTTCAATAACAAAAGAAAATTGACTTGAGCTTGAACATAAAACATAAGCAGAAAAAGCAACATTCAAGCGGGCAAATAAAAAGAGCTAGTTCAGCTTTGACAAAAGGCCGAGCTTCTTGCAGAAGAAACTCCGAGAAAATTTCTGAATACAATTAGCAGCTGGTGAAACGGGAATCTAAAGTGGCGCTCCAAAACGTTAGATAGAAGAAATACGCCATTATTGCATCGTACGACAAAACATAATTTTTGCCTTACAACCAAGCTTTGATAATTTGGCATACCATAAGAATCATATATTTATAAATAAAAAACCACTTATTAAACATTCATTTATGAAGTAGAAACAACTAACAAGATCATTATCCTTTGTTGTCTAAAAATCAAAAAAAAATTGGAAGTCAATAACTCACTTCCAAGGTTTCAAGAAATTCCCGCTCTTCAGCCCTGAAACAAAGAATTTATAGTTATTGCCAGTTTAAAAAGTTTCTACTGATGATCAGTGGGTAGTCAGAAAAAAAATTAATACGACGTATAATTGTAATAAGTAAAAAATGTTTTGGGGCTATTGATTCTGGTTAAATTCGTTACCTCCGATATTCTACATTTTGTACAAGTACAAAATATCATCAAATTCATGGAAACAATACCGCTGCGAAGCATAGAGAAGCTGGGAGATCTTTCAAGCTAATTTTGAAGATTGAGCTACTTCATGTTGTATGGAGATCGGTCAAGAATACGCAGTGAATACCCTAGACGGTACTTTAACCAATCAAAATGCTCCCTTTCCATGAATAATATTTGCCGTTAATCAGCTAAAACAATGGTTCTGTACGCTGAGAAATATGCAGCATACAGCCTCAAAGTTGGTTCAAAATAGTCTCGTTTTGAGATCGATGTAAACAGTTAATGGACGTCGGAGCGGTTGGAGTGATGGATCTTCATGGAAAACAGTAAACATGACTTAATTAAAAAACTATTGCAATGTCCGTATTACTGTTTCATAATCATTCTCTCATTTGACCTCTAATCTTAATCTACCAACAGCAAAGTGGAAAGGAAAGGTAGGCTTCTACATAATACTACACTGACTCAGATCTGTGCCTCTTGAAATGCGAATTTGTTATTGCTTGCCAATCAGGGATGTTTCTGTTTGTATTATGTGATAGAATTAAAGTAAATGCAGATAGGCCTGGATAATATCCTTATAGTTGCCTGGTGTATTCAGTTATCTTGTTGGCCTATTTTGTTTGCATTATTCGAGCGCATTTATTTGCATTATTGTGCAGTCTCATCTCATTACCTTCGATTCTTTCAAATATTAACTTGTATTGAAAATATCACGATTAGGCCATGAAGAAAAAGTCTATAGTGCATACCACAAAATCATTTATAACTCATGTAACGCCCTATGTGAATAATTTTTAAACTTTCGAAAGCCCTTTGTATTAAGGTATTAAGAGTAGGTGTTTACAGTTACTTCCTCTTTACATCAGTAACCAAGCCTCTTTACAAATGTTAGACGATTCAACAACAACTATTGGGACATATTTCGACCAGTAAAATTTTACTGGCTTTCAATGATATGTTTTGATTTGAATTACTTTTGATGAAATGGTTAGTGGTAATTTGATGCAATGAATGAGTTCGAAGACTATATTTTAAGGGTCCTTTAGCAAAGTATCGTTTTCATCATAGTAATGCCCTGACAGTGCAGTACTTGCCAACCGAACCAAAAAGAAAATTAGATAAAACTTCAATAGCTAGTCCTTTTAATTATCCTATTATCCCCCTATTTTCATCAAGCCTCATCGAGCCACACCCTGCCCCACCCCTTTGTTTAATAGAGAATACCCAGTTGAAAAAGTCACGCTACGCCACTGCTGATGATATGCTTAGTCGTTGACTTTAATGCTGCATTTCCCAAATAACTAACTGAGTGCTTACCGAAACTCAGCAGGACTGTTATGAACGTATTGGTGAGCGCCAACACCAAGCGAGCTGCGGTTCTCGTTAGGGTGAGTCCTGTGCAATAAATCGAGAATATCTTAGATGAAGTGGAAATGGAAATAGCAATCGCATCATCCACACAAATGCAATGGAAACAGATGTGTTGACATAAATAATGGGTGATCTCTTATGGAGACGGGCTAGCCAGGAGTTTCAAAAGAAGGTATGGATCATTTGAAAACTTTGCTTATTTTTCATTTCATAACGTCATAGAAAGATAACAAAAAGATTCACACAGTTTAAACACGTTTTCACAGATCACAGGTTGAGAAGCGCGAAATCTTGAAAGTATACGAAGGTTCGTAAAGGAATGGTTTGGTAAGGTATCAGCAAATTATAGCAATTGTTGTTGTTACACCTGCGAAAACATAAAAACATATAAGCTTAGCAGATAAAAAGTGACTCCTTGTTGAAAATCAAGTAAATTATTTCGATAAATGAGCCCCGTTCGAGAAAGAACATCGACCAGTTCCGCCTAGAAATACGGTGGAAAAATTGAATATAAACAAAATATGCTCACTTTTTTATTTTGAATCCGTCTTCATTCTTAACTAGTCCTCCATCATCGATTGTTAACGTTCTCTCGACGGAACGAAAGTAGTTAAGGACACTGAGACACTAAAAGAACGA